GATTTTCCTTCAACAACCTTTGAATAAATTAAAAGTAAAAGCTCAAGATTTCTTTTGTTAATAACAGAAAAGATGCACCGACGTTTTGTATGTTTTATTTTCATTCATAGTATAAAAAGCAAACGTATAGCTTGTATATTTTATATTAAACTAAAAAGATGCATTTGAAGGTGCCATCCACACTTGTTATTGGTTTTAAATGCTATCATCTATCAGTATTCATGGACAGGACTAAAATTAGGATCTTCGGCATTTCATGAAGCCAAGAGTTATATTGTTATAAATGATCCACTTCCAGGTTCTCTCAGAAGCCATCTTGGTTTTCAGTATCCACAAGTTTTTTCCGTTGCAAGCTGTGTCCAGGAATCCTGTTCCAGGCCTTTCCATCCGTCCAGCCTCTTCTGACCCCGGTCATCATCGTAGATTGCGTCCCAGGGACTCCTAAACCGTAAGTTAGACCTACCTGTCACGCCTGCATCGGTTCCCATGGCGTCCGGTACAGCACGGGTCTTCGCTTTACGGTTTTTCCCTGTTATGTGGCAATTGAACAAGCCGTTTGCAGTTTCATTTCGTGCGGTATTCGGCTAATCAGTATATTAGTTAAAAGTTGTCATTTCGCATAAAACTGTTCCGTGTTGCAGTGAAACAAGTTATCCTTTCGGTTGTTTTGCCATTCGGCACTTATTCATGATATGCTTAAACACGCTTGCACGTTCTCATAAAATTTCATGCGTATAAACTCTTCGTTTCAGTTTCTGTTTCCCTTGCCATAGGGTTTTGGTTTTTCTTGCTAAATGTATTTCGCATAAATCCTTTCGTGGATTACATTCATCATTTCATGTATATACCATTCGTTTAATATAGATGGGTGTTTAATAATAGATTAATTATATTACTGTTTAGAGGTATCAATATTGTATTGGTTTCCATAACAAACCAGCTCACATATCTGTATGGATCATTTTGACTCCCACGCTTTCAGGGATTTTCCACACTTATCCATTTCAGTCAAATTAGTTCAGCTTACAATTACAGGCCTCATTTCTGTGTTTTAAACTACGACACAACATATACATAAGGATACAGTTTCCTTTTCCAAGTCATGAATTCTCGGGTTGAATCAAACGTACTGATCCAACCAATCATACGTCTTTTACATTACAGTAATATTATATACAACTTTACATCCCTTCAAAGAATTGTTTCCATCCCTGCCCCTTTGTTGTTGTCAATTATATATCAGTATAACACATTTACATATAGGCCACGGCCTCCTCCACCTCATCCTCTTTTTCACTTGACACCCATCAAACATCCACCCCCCCCCAAGTTTCTAGCCAGAATTTTGGCATTAAAGACACGGCATCACTTGGCCTTTGTAACACATTTTTATTGTCATGGTATATCACTACACTTCATCACTTCATTTACCATTAAAACTCCAATCAAGCCCTTAAAAAACTCAGCTGGTACGGGCTACACAGTCTACATCACTCCCACACAGTCCACACTCCCTATATTACCATCTTCTTTTTATTTTACCTGTTTCAGGCTGTCCAGGTTTATATATATTTCACCACACAAATTCGCTGTGAGATATTCATACTACCAGGTATGTACGCCTGCTCATATGGTATTCTGCCATACATTTCATTTTTCTCCCCTAGGTTAGAGTACTGGAAATAGGATCAAAGGCTCCCCAATAGGTATTTACCCCTTCTTGGCATTTGCCATCAGTTAGTGGTCCTGCGAGGCCAACACTCAACGTTTCTGAGGCAAATACCCATCAAGCCACACGTGAGCTAGTCGCCTCGCATGTCGCATAGAGAGAGCCTCACCTGTCACTCCCTTTCCCTGTTTTTCTGTGTTACAGTCACCGAGAGGCCTACAATCCTGCCACTATAACGGGTGGCCTCAAATCCCCTCGCGCCAACGCATAGATAGAGCCTCTCAAGCCACTTGGCAACTAGTAGGGCCTCACCTGTCACCAAACAAGTGTAATGTTTCGCCATCCGGCTTAGCTAGCCTGCCAGTACGATCTTGGTGGTTTTCATACACTAATTAATTGTTTTATTTTTAGTATGTCTCAGGAAGGGGTAGAGGATGTATCCCTGCCTAGTACTACGGCTAGAGATATCACTCCTACACAAGGAGGAGAGGTAACTAGTCCAGCATCGATCAGATCCTGGACGATCCCTCGTCTAACTATGGAATTGAGGAGAAGGCAAATCCCCTACCCCGCTACAGCAAGCAAAGCAGAACTTTTCAAACTGCTACGTACTTCAACTAACAACATGGATGCCGGGGAAGGACCTAGCCAATCCAACCCAGGAGACATACATTCCATGTTGTCATCACTCATGGCGTCCAGGAGCAAGGTCAACTACTGGCTGGAGAAACTTGAGTCGGTCACCATGGCCCTTACTCTAGCAGGGCCACCCGCTGCTGCTTCACAAGCACCAGCCAACTTACTATTAGTTGCTCCAGCAATCACCCAGGTTGACCAGGAAGTTAGCCCTGCTTATATGATCCCTGAGCACATAAAAAGTGATATCCTGGAAGGTAAAGACGTCAACCTGGCTTCTCTACTGATTGCCTCCCAGGATATTGTGGAGAATAAGACTTATGCTTATGATGATGTGTCTGTTGTTGTCAGATCTAGGGACACTCGCCTAAACAGGAAACTGACTATTCTGGAGTTTGTACTGGCTTTTGGTATTTACCGGGATGTCATCTGTGTGGTCTATCCCAATAGACAAGAGGAGTTTGATCTTTATATGCACAAGCTGGTAGACCTGGGCAACAAATATGGTGGATCAGCCTTTTATGACTACCATAGGTCTTTTTCTGCAAAAGTGTCTGGAGCCTTCTCCCAGTATGGAACAAGATCCAACTGAGGAAGGATTGATACCGTCATATTTTGCAGACACTTTGAAGGTCTAAGAACACCGGCTTGTGCATATTGCTCCTCTACGGCAAATACGACAAATTTCTGTCCCAACACGGCGGATGAACATGCCTCCACGCAAGGAGCTAGTTCCTCTGGTGTTCCAGAAAAATTGACCAGAGACAAACTGGGACGCCCGATCAAGTTTCTGGGCAAGTCCCAGATATGTAATAATTTCAATGTTGGGTCTTGTAATTATAGCGGTTGCAGATTATTGCATATCTGTTTAAAATGTTTTAGGGCACATGCAAAAACCATGTGTCCCAATAAAATGTACTCTAAGCCTTACCTAACGTCCATAAATATTTTGGTATTTACAGCATTTCTGTCACATCACCCGTCTAAACACTTGGTAGACTTTCTTTTCTCTGGTTTAACAGAAGGCTTCCACATGGGTATTCTACACATACCGTCTGGGATTCTGGAATGCCCTAATCTACAATCAGCACAACACAACCACACAGCTGTTGACACTCTCATAGCCCAGGAAGTTGCTGAGGGTTTATTATTGGGGCCTTTCCAGTATCCTCCGTTCAATGAATGGCGCACTAACCCCATTGGTATTGTCACAGGGAAATCTTCCCTTAAACAGAGACTCATTATTGACCTGTCTGCACCACACTCATCGGCTAACCCCAGACTCAATTCCCTCATACCCTCCGAAGAATTCTCTCTGCAATACACTACCATAGATCATGCCATTACAGCTGTCATACAGGCAGGGGTCGGAGCATGGCTTAGTAAGACCGATATTACTCACGCCTTTAAATTGCTGCCAATTACTATGCCCCCACCCTTATCCATCGGGCGGATCACTATAGTATGATCTTTTGCCAAATCCATTAGTAGACCTCGTTCCTGTTTAGTGATGTTTTGATGTGGTTTAATACCCTGTGAAAAAATATGGGTCGTCCTGGCTGTAGAGGACAAAAACGTTTTGATGATATTGGCATAGTTCTGATGAACTATAGTGATTACTTTGAAGATCTAAAAATACAGCTCCAGGATGAAAAAACGTACTATCCACTACAGGGTGATCCCACATTGGGGATAGAAAGGAAAATTATAGATATACTTGATATGGCATATATATTGGAACCTATTGCACAACCTATTGCACAATGGCTTGATTTCATCTATAAAGAACCAGTTGAGGCTTTATATACCTGTGTCAAAGACACACAGACTTTGTTGAACAGCATTAAATCCTTGGAATTTCATGACACAGTGCTGATTTTTATTACTATGGATGTCTCTAATTTATATACAGTCATTCCTCATATTGATGGAGTGGAAGCCATGCGCCAAGTACTATGTAACTCACTATTATACCGGGGTCACCAATCGAGTTTGTGTTGGAGCTACTATCATTGATCCTCCATAATAATCATTTTAGATTTGAGGAACAATGGTACCTTCAGGTGGCTGGGACTTCCTTGGGTTCTGCAGTAGCCCCAAGATATGCTAATGCATACATGTATATATATGAGACACAGTATATACTAAAGTCATATGCAAATTTGATCACAGGATACTATCGTTACATTGATGACCTCTTGATAATTTGGAAGGGTACATCATTGGAGGCACAACACATGATTGATGAATTGAACCACTTGTCTACACCGATTAGGTTCACATCAAATATCAGCAGGGATTCAGTCCAATATCTTGACTTGGAATTATCATATGGACCCAAAGGGATTGAATACACTTTGTTTTCTAAATTGACTGATCGTAATACCCTTTTGCATGCACAGAGTGCCCAACCTATGGCTTTGAAAAAATCTATTCCGAAGGCACAGTTTCAAAGGGCTATACGCAATAACTCTAATTCAATTAAAGCAGAGTTACAATTGGAGTCGATGACCCAAAAGTTTGTGAATAGAGGATATGAAGGTCGAGTGTTGAAAGATGCACTTATTGAAGCCAAAGCAACCCCAAATCAGGTTATGGCTGACTCTACACAACGTATGGTGTTTCCAATGACATTCCACAACTCCGCTAACAAGGTTGCAGCTGTGATCAAAGACAATTGGAAAATGATAGCTACTGATAATACACTGCCTAAGATCTTCAAGGAACCCCCCATGATCTGCTACAGGAGGAACAGAAATCTTCGGGATATTCTGGTACACACAGATCTGGTGGATAGTTACACTAAGACCACAAAGAGCAATATACGAGGATGCATACAATGCCTTGGATGTGTCACATGTGGACATATGATTCCGTCTAAGAAATTTACCCATCCGCATACCAATAAAGTATATGACATCAGGCACACCATTTCATGTAAAACTCTCTTTGTCATCTATAAACGTATGTGTCCCTGTGGACTGTATTATGTGGGGAAAACAGAGACCCCCATATGTGAGCGCATCCAAGGCCACTGGTCTAGTATCAGGTTGTCATATCGTAATGGCCAATCTGACAAACCGGTGGCCAAACACTTTCTGGAGATGGGGCATCCACTATCCTACCTCAAATTTGTGTGTATAGACCACATTCCCTCTCCTAAGAGGGGTGGTAATAGAGGTAGGATGCTGCTCCAAAGGGAAGCTTTTTGGATATACCAGCTGGGTACGGTGGCACCTAAAGGGCTTAACGAAAATATCCCCTATTATTCGTTTATTTGATTTCACCAGCTTGTACTACATAGATTTTATTATTATAGGTGGTTTTTTTGTGTGTATGTGAATAGTGTAAAATAGCTCATAGAAGTATATTTACACATGAGCTTTACAATAAAATGTATAGATTTTTATTAATTGAAGTGATAGTATACGCTTGTTTGTATGGTTAGGCTTGAATGCACCATTTATTATTGTACTTGATAGGTATGTAACTTACATGCCCAGGCATTAGTCCTGTATGTTTTTTATATAAGGGATAGTATATTTCCCTATTTAGAAATCCTATTTTATAGGCATTATTTGCTATTATCCTTTATTACTTTTTCTATTATAGACACTTTTTTATAATATGAATTTTTTTACACTTTATGCACTTTCCGATTTTAGAATTTAAACCCTCATTCTACTCTCGTTGTTCATGGTGGTTTGGCTTTCTTGCTTACATTATAGCCGAGTTCCGGCATGTGTGGTCGCTAAGCAACCACATACACTGATAGCTTATGAAACCGGCACGCACCACGTGCATGCCAGGGGATGGAGCGTATTTTCGTATGCGCGCCCATACCCGGAAGTGCACAGGATCACGGCCAGCACGAACACACTGCACCTGGGTGAGTCTAACCTAATTACATTTACGTTATATATTGTCATGTGTAAGATGTTGTTTTATGTTGTCTTGTTACCCTGAGGAAAGTCCCGAATAGGGACTGAAACGTTGGTCTCTGATTTTAATTTGAACTAAATAAAGTATTGGAATTTTAAAGACCGGTGAGCAGCTATCCTTTGGCACACTGTACTTTTGCAGTCCAGGCTATGGCACCCGGCATTATTGAATACTACTAAGCATGAATGCGGGGGAAATTTAATTTTTTTTACATATATATATATATATATATATATATATATTTGTGTTCGGGGCATTCTCATATGATATGGAATAGTCTGGCGGAGAGTAATACAATAAAAGGAAAAAGTCGGTTGAGGTGTGCCGAAAACCGACGTATGCTGTAGGCCGGTAAATAAAGTGGGCCCACATGGAGGAAAGTATAGCTAATGGGAGTGGAGGGTGGGGCTGTTCGTCTGGACCAATGTAGGTAAGTGAGGGAAGGGGGGAGTCCCCTTTTAAGTAGATCTATTGCCCCTCCCACAAATTCAGGCCCTGCCTTCAAACTTGTGTTCGGGGCATTCTCATATGATATGGAATACTCTGGTGGAGAGTAATACAATAAAAGGAAAAAGTCGGTTGAGGTGTGCCGAAAACCGACGTATGCTTTAGGCCGGTAAATAAAGTGGGCAAAAAGATAAAGCAAGATAAACATTTATTCGGTAACATAAATACAAAGAAAATACAAATACATTATTAAGTAGACATATTAATGAAAGCCCTCCTAAGCTCTTGGACTGGGTGCGGAATGTAGGTAGCGTAAGCTGAGGACTTCCATCGACCCAGTGTTTTAATGACATGCACGGGAACATTTTGGCTAGAGGCTGTGGAGGCCGCTCCAATTCTGAAGGAGTGCCCCGAGTAGCTACTAGGGTTCAGACCAAGCCTGGTGATAAGCATTCAAACGTAAAGCATGAATTTCGCCGTGGTGAGAATGGCATTGTGCAGCATTAATAGAGGCCTTGCGGGCTGTGTTTGTTTCGTGGTTAAAAAAACGTCTAGTGCTTTTACTGGGCACCAATTGTTACCCGTGGGGTAGTAGTTAATGTGAAATGGTTCCCCCATCTGACTTGTCTTAGTCTTAGGTAGAGACAGGACGTAGTAGTCTGTGTGTTTCGTGAGATGTGACGTGAGGAGGCACCCTTGGTTATGCAATTGGCCACTAACGGTGAATTCTCATGGTCTAAGAAACCCGTAAAAGGCCAGATACATGGCGGCTTTAATAACCGCGTTTGTATTGGGTTCAAAAGGTGCCTGGTCGAGTAGATTGGACAATGATTTGAACATTCCTATGTCAATAGCCAATCTTTTGGGCGTAGCTGGACCGTCTGCCTTTGCTATACCCTTCAGTAGCGTGCGGATGGGGTATGAGGTTAAGAACCCTTTGTGGTTAGGGAATGAGTAGTACATGTGGTGTTGTATCCCCGTGAGATAAAGCTTAATGGTGTTATGTGTGAATTTTAACTTAAGGTGGCAAAAGGATGCAAAAGCCATTAGTGATGATACTTCGAACCAGTTGGATAGGTGATGGTCAGTCATGAATCGTTTATATAGGTGAAAAGCTCTGTTATATGAGTGTTGAGTGCTAGTGGACAAAGCTAATTTTGTGAGAGTGAGGCTGTGATGAAGTAGTTCATCTATTCCATGACAAGGTCTTGGAAGGTTGGTGCTGGGGTTGCCATACGAGCTACTGAGGGTAGGGACCGTCTGAAAGCCTGAAATTGAAAGCGAGATAGCTGGTCAGCTGCCGTATTGTATATTCCGGGAACATGGGAGCATACAATGTGGAAGTGATGGGTGGCTGCCAGCCAAGACAGTTTCCTAATGAAATTCATAATTATCAAGGAGGAAGAGCGGCCTTTGTTGATAATGTGGCATATTGCCATGTTATCCGAGAGACAGCGTACTGACTGACCTTCCCACAACCTACACCAAGTGACAGCTGCGGCAACTATTGGGTATACCTCGAAAAGGGCAGAGTTAGTGTGAAACCCCTCGATGCCCTGTGTTTCTGTTGGCCATGTCCCCCAGAGCCAATTTGTGCCAAAAATGGCCGCATATCCCGCAGATGATGCTGCATCTGTCCAAATGACAGGTGACTGAGAATCCAGCTGTGGAAGGAACATGCTCCTACCATTCCAGTCAGAGAGGAATCTGTACCACATCTGGAGGTCGGCAGTCGCAGGGCCGTTCAAAGAAATGCGGGCATAGTCGTTGGTGAAGGTGGGGAACAGGGCGAGGAGCCTGGAAATGAAAGCCCTGCCCTGGGGGATTATGCGCATGGCGAAATTTAGTGAACCCAACAGAGATTGTAGTTCCTTACGGTTGCATGAACCCCTGTGCATGTAGTGGTTAATGTCGTGTAGAATGTTATCAATTTTAGTTCTAGGGAGGCTGGCCATCATAGTTGCTGAATCGAGCAGAATACCTAGGAAGTTGATGACTGTGTCTGGACCTTCTGTCTTGGTGGGTGATACGGGGACCCCGAGTGCGGTGAATAGTTTGACAGCTTTGTCTAGGCTACACGGGGGGTTGGTGTTTGCTTCGATGATCAGAAAATCATCCAGATAGTGTATCACATTTTGGCACCTACTGGTATTAAGGAGGAGCCAACACAAAGCCTCAGCGAATGTGTCAAAAATCCTTGGACTACTCTTGGCTCCAAAAGTGAGTTTTGTAAAAAAGTAGTAGGCTTCTTGCCACTTAACTCCATGCAGGTGCCATAACGAGGGGTGTAAAGGTAACAGTTTAAAAGCATTGACTATATCCGTCTTGCTGAGCCAGGCCCCCACCCCTGCTGACCTGATAGCTGCAATAGCGTGGTCAATAGTGGAGTACTGTAAGGAAAACTCTTCCGAAGGAATCAATGAGTTTAGGCTGGTGATGGCTGAAGAGTGGGGAGCGGATAGGTCAATGATGAGCCTTTGTTTATCTGAATTTTTACTTGCGACCAGCCCGATCGGCTTAGTTCTCCAGCTGGAAAAGGGGGGATTACCAAAAGGACCGATGACAAATCCCTGGTCCACTTCCAGTTGTAGCACGTTAGTGACTGCAGTAGGGTTATTAGAGGCTGACTGCAAATTGTGACATTCTAACACTCCTGTTGGCATGTAAATGAGCCCCGTGTGAAACCCGTGGGTGAGACCTGTGCATAAAAATTCCACCAGGTGTTTAGAGGGGTGAGTGGACAGCATGTGTTCAAGTACAGGAACGTTCACTGGAGACAAATAAGGTTTCTGTAACATTTTATTTGTGCACATGGATCTCGCATGTGCCCGAAAACAGTGTGAGCATACATGTAATAAGCGGCAAGCGCTGTAACCACAGGAGCCTTCATTGAAGTTATTGCAAATTTGTGACTTGCCTAGGTACACAACCGGACGACCCAATTTGTCTCTGGTCTGTTTTCTCAGTTTTAAGGGGGTGCTGTAGGGACGTGCTGGGAGCGCTGTCCGGGCAGAGGGGGCACAAATAAGCTGTGTGAGCGGGTGACGTACATATGGCACAAGCTGGTGTCCTGAGCCCCGCAAAGTGTCTGAGGAACAATTCATTGTCCAGTTGGCTCCAATCCATCTGGATGCCATACTGGGACAATGTGGCTGACACTTTGGATGAAAAAGACTTGTGATAGTCATAAAAAGTGTAACCACCATATTTGTTACCCAGGTCCACCAGTTTATGCATATATAAGTCCAGTTCCTCTCTCCTGTGTGGATGAACTGAGCACAGGATGTCCCTATAGATACCAAAAGACAGGACAAAATCGGGAATGGTTAATTTCTTACTGAGTCTGGGGTCTCTGGCTTTTAAAACAACAGAGATGTCCCCGTAGTCGTAAGAGCGGTTTTCCACTACATCCTGGGAGGCAATGAGCAAAGAGACCAAGTTTACATCCTTGCCCTCCAGGATGTCTTTTTTAAGATTGGCCGGAACCATGTGGGCAGGGTTAATAACGTGTGCC